TTTTTGCCTCTGGCAGAACCCTTGGCTTGAGGGGGGTATGTGCTCCCCTGAGGTGCGATTGCTCAATCCCCCCCTCCCCAGAACTGCAGTTCCTGTTGACCAGGTAAATAAAAACCAGAAGAGAGCGTTTGCTGAGTAGACAGGCAAGGGGAACAGTCACTGACCCGCAGAGAACTGAAGCACAGCCAATTTCAGTGCACGTCTGAAAGCTCGGGGTGTCAGGGAAGGAGAAGGTGCGATCAGGAGGCAGCACAGAGAACGGAGGGAAGGAGGATTTGCATAAATATCATCCATCGCGTGCTGCAAAAACCCAAATGCTGCTGTGATCTCTGAAGAGATGATCTCTGGATGTAGCCAGCTGCTTCAGCTGCCATGCTCCCTGTTGGCACAACTCTGCTTGTAAGCGGCCATTAGAGAAAGGTATCAGAGGCCGCAGTTACCGACCCCAGCCACTTCCTCCATCTGCTCTGCAAAATTAAACTGAAAAATAGAAAAGACTAGTGTTGCATGCTTCTGTGGAGCTCTCTTCACATCCCAGGGCTCCATATAGTCGCAGCAGGGCCAGGACACAGCAGCAGCGGATCAGCTCTCCTGGGGCTTGACAAGAAGTAGTTCTCTCTTCCCTCCCACTCCTGGCTTAAGGCAGCTTGCTGATTCGGCTCTTCCATTTCCAACACAGGCACTGAGTTCTTGCAGGTAAGAGTGTGGGAACTGCAGAGGTGCAGTGGAAGGGGAAAAGGACAGGGCAAGGGCAGATGGACACAAACCTCAGCCTCGGGAGACAGACCACTGTCCATTGATTCCCAGGATAGAGGGAGTAGCAGCAAAAAAAAGCATTAACAGCCAGGCCGGAGGAGAGGAACGGGACGAGCAGCCGAGCAGGGGCAGCCCTCCAGCTTGGAACGTGAAAGAAGGTGGCACTGTCCAAAGGGAAGGTGCCCTCCACCCTCGGCCCTCTCGCAGTGGGGACAGCCAGCCCGGCCGTGGGCACGCAGACACGTGTGCTCCGGGTCCGATGGCTGTCGAGGGCGGCGGGAGGAGCAGGGCAGCAGGGCGCGGGAGGGGGGAGGTGAGCTGTCAGTGGCCAGTTTGCAGAGGCTTGTGCTCTCAGTGGTTTTCTTGTAAAAAGTGCAGCAGCGTGATTTCGTAGTGCTCTCCCGACTCAGGGCACCGAATACTGTGTCTCTCGTTGGGGTAGATCTGCGCAGAAGCAGAGGGACAGGGCAGTTAGCCAGGAGCAGCTCACTCAGCACGGACAACCCTCCCTCACATCAACCCTTCTCCCTCAACCCAGTTGCCATTGGGAAAAAGAAGTCCCAGGGAATGTCTACAGCACCAGCCCCCTCCCTCCCTGTGCTGGCGCGGGCTGCTAGTCCGCTTGGCGAGTCAGCCTCTGTGGCTGCCACCAGCCAAGTGACACAGCAACAGCTCAGGCGAGAAGGAAAGTTCCAGGCCTGAGGGCAGAAGCCCTGTTTGCAAATGCTTTTGGATACAGGCCACATCTGCCAGCAACAGAACAGCCACAGTGCCACCTCCCGGACACCTCTTGGTGTCAAACTAGGCATTTACCATCACCTATCCTGCAACAAGATGTGGGAGCATCTGCCTCCAGCTTCTCCCGCCCCCGGAACACACAGCAAATGATTTTTTCCTCTTTCCAGATTTAAGAAAGCTTCCCCACTTCACTCCTGTTCCTCCTACCTGCAGCTGGTAAGGCTTTCCAGCCCGGATCAGCTGTGATACCAGGAAGTTGGTGTGAAAAAAGTGCACATTTTCATCCAAAAAGCCATGGAGGATCAGCAAACGATTTGGCCTAGAGGTAGGATGAGAGATAGGATAAGAAACCACACAAAAAGCTCTGCAGTGGGTCTGAGCAAAGAGCTGCCAGTTGGCAAGCCAGAACTGAGCAATGGAGAGGCCGTCAGAACGGCGCAAGGGCAGGGACGTGGTCCTCAATCCCACCCTGGCAAAGGGGCTGGGGGTACAATGCCCCAGAAGGCAGCGACCAGACACGCGAGTTAAAAATCACATGGGATCAGAATCCTTCCATTCTTTCGGGATTCGGCAGAGGTGCAGCTGGTGGCACCAAGCAGGACCCGGGAGCAGGTTTTCAGCAGATCACTCAACCCCAGGGTACTCACTCATTGGGCAGCTTTTCTACGTGTAATGCCACAGAGCCAGCCTCATAGCCTTGCTGGTTGTTTTCTGGGATATCCATGTACCGCTCAGTGTACCCGGTGTCATATGCCATCCAAACTGTGACAGGAGCACCTGCTATAGCAATCTGTCAAACAAATAGGTGGCAGGAGACAGCCTCAATTATCAAGTGCTAAATAGTTGTGTTCCCTGTTTTCCTGAAGAGGCAGGAAAAATAGTCTCTGGACTATTCGTCACTCAGACCAGAATTCTTCTATGGCAAAATCACATCAAACCCAGATTCTCCCTCGTGCTCTTCCTCTTACAGTCTCAATGGAGGAAATTTCTGCATACCAGCACTAAAAGCTTCCCCTTTTCAAGGGGGACATGGGGAATAATCCAGAACTGCGCCGGGGACTTGGGAAGGGGATTAGGAATCACTCATCAGTTATCTCACTGGATGCTAGGCCAAGTCCTCCATTGGCAGTCACTAGGGAACAATCCCACCCCAGAGACCCCATCCTCATCCAGCCTCAGATGGGAAGGATCTGGAAGCAGATGCAGGGCTGTAGGCAGGAGCTACAGGCAGGACTGAGGCACATTTTCACCCGTCCATCAGAAACATCAAGCAAAAAAGCCAACTCCAGATGCCACGAGTTACAGAAGCTGAGAGCGCCAAGCACCCCAGCATGATAGCCCCATGTCCAGACTTACCTTGAAGATGTTGGGTTTACAGATCAGACCCATGAGGGAGAGAAAACCGCCGTATGACCAGCCGTGTATGGCTACACGACTCAAGTCAATGAACCCGTATTTTTCTGCTACATAATGTAAACCTTCCACCTGGTCCTCTATCTCCACCTGACCCTAAAAGGCAACACGGAAGCTCAGGTTAGTGGCTTTCTAAATCTAGAAACTTGGGACAGCAGAGACAAGAGCAACACTCACACAGGAAACGTGCAGCCAGGCAGCCTTAGAAATAGCAAATGAGCGGAGATTCATCAACAAAATTAGTACATTACCATTTGGTTTTTCAGGGCCCCTTCAAATTTGAGTCCTCGCTGGCACGAGCCCCTTCCATCAATCACTACTACAGCATAGCCTAGGGACGCTAGCGTGTTTAGCCGTAAGTACTTGATTCCTTTGAAGGAGTTATTCACTAGCTGCACCTGCAGCAGGAGGGAAGAAAAGTTTCAGAGCCAGGCAGCTGCCTGCTGGTACCTTCCTCTGTCTGTCCCACTCTGCAGGATCCTGAGCTGTACAGCAACCACTGAGCTATCAGAGCCATGCAAATCAGACTAAATGTTGGAAAAATCATCTGAGGTTTGAAGCGGATGAGGTCAAAACAGAGGTCCAGTGCTCATTGCTAACTAAAATATAAGTCTTGATGCATGACTGAGCTAAGCAGAGCTCTGCCCTGGGCAGCAATCCCATGCCTGACACCATGAGTTAATCTGGATTATCACCTGAGGGCCTCCGTACACAAAGAGCACTGTGGGATGCTTCTTCCCAGGCTGGACATCATGAGGTTTGTAGACCATTCCGTAGAGCTCAACATCTGACTGAGTGCGGAAGTGGAAGATTTCGGGAGGGATGTAATCCGGGGGACAGCCTGCAGAAGGAAGCACAGACACTAGCACTGCAGTAACTGGCAGCAGGCTCTGCCTCCTACCCCACCTCAACAAGCTCATTCTGCTCAAACTTGACCCCAGTCAGGGCTCTTTCAATACCAAACCACACCAAGCCTTAGCAATGCTCCTCAGAGAAGCCTCTCCCAGGGAAGCACACAGCCTCTGCCTGCCTGCATGGGGCAACTGGCCACATAAAGAGTGAAGGGATCACACAAGAAAACATCATCAGTTGGGTATTCTCAGACAAGGCACTATGCCACAACGGCAACATATGGAAGATGAAGAACAGGGACGGGTGAAATGGAGAAAATGTTTGCAGGAGGGGTTCAGGTGCTGTTGTGAGCTGTATCTAAAACTTTAAAGGCTACAGAATGAAGTAGCCACTGCATCCCAGATACTTGCCCCCTCCCTCTTCAGACAAATCATGAATAAAGAAACAGCTAAACCCACAGCCACCTAAACCCTGCAGCCTGGAGCACTGCTTTCGCTCAAAGCATGAAATAGTAACATCTTAAAAGCCCGTATACCATCTCCTGGATGAGTTATCCACTAGAGAGATCTCTCCCACAAGGTAACACAATTCATTTTCCCTTAGAGTGAAGTTACTCGGACCACTTCCCTCTCCATCACCTTTGGCTACAAGTTGTAGGAAGAGTATCACAGACATAACTTAGCATTGACACGTTCTAGGGGACTTACTGGCTGCCTCCATCATACTAGCCCAGAACTTGGGCTGCTTGTGGAGCGGGTCATCGTCGGAGCCACTGAGCTTGTAGACATGCACGCAAGGCGGAGTGCTCACGCTGCTGTAGTGGCTGATGAACATATCAAAGTTCTACAGATGGGAGAGAGCAGAGTTAGGGGAACAAGGTCCTTCATTTCCCACATGTAATCTCCTCTATGTAGTTCTCGGACAAGAGCTCCCATGTCTCACGCAACCAAGACAAAGCAGCCCTCAGGACTCATTACTGGTCACGATTCATTGCCATTCCTAGTTAGGATCCCTGTCAGTCAGTAGATGAGGGCAGTTTGTATCTACGAAACAACAAACCTGGCTCATTGAACAGCTGTGGGAGAAGCCTGGAGTGGTGAGTCGCACGATTTCTCCAGGAGACTCATAGCTGACTACGTAGAGGTGGTGCTCCAACGGGGTGTCCTTTGTGCCTTGGAAATACACCAGCTTCGTAGCCTCGTTGACCCAGATCTATGTGGAGAAGAGAGGGCTCAGCAACAGAAGGTTGACAACTACTGCTCCTTTGCCAGTTCAAACAGTCTGTCCCCAGGCAGAGTCAGCTTAAAACACAAACAGACCATGACAGACTGCTCGCGGCATTAGGGACCGTACGCAACGCCTGTTGATATTATGGCAGGCTAGAGAACACATACGCAGCGCTTACAGAGAACGACATGCAGTCCAACGAAGTAACGAAAACTGGTCACTCAGCTTTATTAAGAGACTCAAAGCATTTGCTTATTAATGAGCATAAAAAGTTGGGCTCTGTTCCCCATAGGTGAAACTAGGAAGATTCTGCGCTTAAATCTGGTGTCTTCCCATAGTATGTCTGGTTTCTAAGTGTATACATGTATTTTTTCCAGCAATCACAGTAAGAAATTCCCATCTGTGGAAGGATCAGCCTAATAGCTCCAACAGTACCAAACTTCAAGCCACATTAAAATATGTTTTTAATGTCCAGATAAAGCTGTTTCTAAAAACCACCTGGCCAGCCAGCAATAGAGACTACAGCTTTTAAATACTGCATCAACCCAGCAACAGTAACTGAACTGTTTTCTGCCTTACAGTTTCCAAATGCTATTTCTGGCTAACCCACAGTTTGAAGACCACTCTGGACAGCAAAGGGAAAAAAATATCCAACTCAATTGGCCAGGAAAACCGGGCAGGGCCCTGCGGAGCAACAAATGCATCAAAATAATTGCTGCTAACACAATTTTAGCCATAACACATGCAGGGAAGAGCTGTGGCCAAAATCAACAGCATGTACAGTGAGAATCCACATGGGGAGGGACAGCAGGTTAATTGCAGATTGAAGAAAAGCAGCAGAAACCAAATGCACGGAGCTGTAGGCATTTCAAAAAGCAAGAAGTGAAAATCCAGAATAACTGGAAATGAACAGAGAAGGTCTTTATTTTGACAGAAATTGCCTGGGAGCATTAAAGATCAGACGCAGAGTTAATTCCTGAAGCAAAAATTGAAGTAGGTTTCTACAAGATTAATAAAAATGCATTTCTGGCTATTCTGCAACCAATAACAGATACAGTTTCTCCACATTCTAAATTGCTTTATGCTCCCTTGCTGCCTTCTTCCTAAAGGCCCTCCTGAGGGATCAGCTGGAGACCAAGAGTTCACTCTCAGCACTAGGACGTATTTCCAATTCACCAGTACTCATTGGGGTTAAAATGCTTCGGCAAAGGCAGCAATCCCAAGCTTCTCCAGAAAATAGTTCTTCGTTGCTCTTGAACCTCAGAATTGTGTCCTTTTTATAGCCTGACTCACTCATGGGATTTACCTAAGGAGCAATCTGAAGTCTGATTAAAAAGGCAATTGGTTCAATGTGCACTGGACTACAGCACTTATGGGAAAGCAGAGGCAGCAATAAAAAGAGAAACAAAATGAAGCTTAAGTAGCTCTAGCTGGTCCCGGGCGTAATAGAGGGCGTAGGCCAGGACTGTGGGCAGACAATGCAGAGCTGTAACACGGCAAGAGAAAATAAAAATAAACACTACCTTCGATCCATGCCTCGCCAACACCTCCCATTCCCCACCAGTCAGGGCAATCTCCTCTTTGATAGGACATTTGAAATCATCTAGAAGAAAGAACATGAGAATAAGTCACCCGCCGACAAAGTGCAGGTCTTACCCTCACTATGGACGTATGGCTGCACCCAGTCATAGCTGCCTTGCTTGAGGACTGCTGTGACTCTGTACAGGTGACAGAAACCTGTTTTGCATTCGTTGGCTCGGATAAAGCAGAGTTCTTCCTCCTCTCCCTCCGGTTGGATGAAAGGATAGAAGATATCGTGAACCTGTCACACAAGGCAAAAGACCCATGAGAGATTTGGACTGAGACAGCAGAGACCTAACCAAGGGAGTCAGTGCTGAACTACTGGGCTTTCAAAGGAAAGGAGAGGGGGGAGAAACATCTCATATGAGCAGCTAGTGGGAAAAAGCCATTCCATACTTTCCTACTACCACAAAGAAACTCGGCCCACGTGGAAGACTGTGTGCTCTGGGCTCTCCATGGCTACCACCAAAAACAGCACCAGTCTTGCCTCAGAGCTAGACATTTCAGCTACGCGAGTCCCACCGGGTGGCTGCTATTCCGACACCTTAGGAACGCCACGGTGGGAACTCCAGACCCCTTTGTCACTTCAGTACCAAGATGCTTAATCCTAGAAACTGAAGTTTATTCCCTGTCCCCTATGTCCATTACCCATCTAAATAAGCACAAATTCCAGGGATTAGGGTTGCTTGTGCCTCCACAAGCCATTTAATCTTGTAATAAAATACCCGCAAAAGAACGGTCGTGTTACATCCAGTGTCAGTGTCCAAAATGGTCTGTGTTCACCGAGAACGCTAGCAAGAATTAAATGAACAGCTCCAACTGCAAGGAGATATCAGGATCCTCATCTCTCCCAAGGCCGACTGTGTGACAGTCCTTCTCATGGCTTTATCAGCCCCCCTGAATTAACACCAAATCTGGCACTACTGAGTGGCAAAGCAGTCTGCTGGAGCATGGACTAAACTGGACGCACAGCCAACACAAAAATGGTTAACTGCGGGGGAGGAAGGGGCAGCCTCTGCTCTCCTCCCAGCCCCGAGCCTCTTACGTTTATCCACACATCAGTGGTTTCTTCATAGATCACAAATGGCTGGACATTTTCTGGCACAGTTTTGGCAAATTCAGCACGCTGCTCCTCATTTTCTGGGACTGGTATAAAGAGTGCTGGAGGCAAAAGGATTAGCTGCAGCCGCTGCTGAGGTCTGTCTAGGAACATAGCCCAGGCACTGGGGAAAGAAGTTGGAGGTGAATGTCAGTACCACAAAATAGATGTCCCTTTCTAACACTCAGAACGCTCAACCCCTTTCCCCCCCGCTGGCAGAACGGATTTAGGCATCTGAACGCAAAGCTTTTCTCCTCATTGCTACTTTCTAATCTCCTGCAAGCTTTGCCAACAAACATGTATTGCCAGATATCGCTGGTACTTCACAGGGGTATCGTTCAGACAAGATGTCTGACAGATTTGCCAATATCTATTCCAAGGGAGCCCTGCTCACAGAACGCTGTCTCCAGAGCATAACCCTTCCTTGGACAGCCCCTCCATCACGAAACACCATTTGTGTTCTAGCAAGCTCCTAACAAGCTGAAACAATCACTCTTAAAGTGATCCATTTGTAGCTTCCTTGTTGCACGCTGCACTAGCAGGGAAAGGCACAGACCTAAGACAACTGCCAAGTGAAGGAGTCGCTTCAGTCTCAGCCTTGTTCCTCTCCAAGGAGAGTCATTTGAAGTGGTGCTGCACTGCAGGCCTCTCAACATGACAGATGGCAAGCCACCGCTGCATAGTGCGGCTACCCTAAGGCCTGGAAGTGCATCAAGGGAAGGTTCATCATTAAGACAGACTTTCAAACGAGCCCGTTCTCCCCTAGCATCTCAGCGACTCTGGATTTCACGAACTGATAATATGCAGCACATTCAGACAAGCTCTGGTGCACAACATAACAATCACCTACGGGATCACCTTCTGTAAAGCTGTATGAATTTCGTTTCCAGAGCAGAAAATTAATGATGAGTTACAGAACGCAATCTTCAAAGACAGCTAGGTCACCTTAACTTGATCTGGACAGAAACTAGTCAACAGTCAAGCAAGCTCTTGAAGGGAAAAAATTAAGAGCTTTAAAATTTCAAACCCACCAGATTGGTGTGAATTCTGTAACTCTTCAGGCAAGGCTGACCAGCACAAGACCGAGCGACAGCGAGCTACGGGAGCACACCAGTCACTGAACCATCTTTCCCCTTGTACACACTGCACGCAGGGCTTAGCACCACTGCCTTCCCATGATAGGTTTGACATTGATCACAAACTGGACCAATGAACAATGATAACATTTCTTACAAGAATCTTATTGTATTTCTGTTAAACACCTTCAACTCAAAAGAATTCCCTAGGGCTGCCAGCTTAATCTATCAATGTCATTTAACTTTGTGGTTGTGGCTCTGACTTCAACCCCACAGCTTGTCACTCTGGTCTACATTTGATCAATTCCTACGTTTAAGACATTGTAGCACTGAAGAAGTCAAATACTCATTGCCAGTTCTGGCACTCATTGCTTTAAAACCAGGTCATGACTAAAATACAAAGCATGTTGAGGGCCTGCAATAGTTCAGCCAGGGAAGCCCTTGGGAGAGTTAATTTGGAAGAAAAACTTATGTACTATTTGCCGTCTCGGGTCCATCCAGCACGGGCAATGTACTCCACAGTCGGAAACAATGCAGCGAATGGTTGCACCAGCTCCTTGTCCTGAGCGCACACGATCTGCACCGAAAGCAAGGTCCAATATCAAATCAGACTACTACCAGAGCTCCTCACCTCCTACGTAAGCTCAGTGGAATGGGAGAATAAGGAAGTTTAACTATTGGCATCAGCACGGGTTCGGCCAGGAGAAGCAAGCCTTTCTAAAAATGGCAGGAAGAGAAGGGAAAACCAAGCTTCAACGCAAACCGATTTTGGCATTGAGCCACAGAAAAGGCTACAGCAGGGACTGAAGCCCAGGATTAGATCAAGCTTCAACCCTCCTGGCCCTACCTAGTGACAATGTGGTACATCAGGCTAACCCTACTTCTCGCTTCCCTCCCCTCTCCCAGCTGCCTCTCCACCAGAACAATACTCTTCAGCATTTTAAAGTTTTTCTGTTTCTTCAATAAACATGTTATAGAACCAGGTGTTACAAGAAGATGAAAACAAAGGCTAACACTATCTAGGATTTCTTAGTGACCTTGTCTTAACCCTAGGGAGCTTCAGAAAGAGTCAACCCTTCTGTGCGATATCCCATTCTGAGTTGTTATCACTTACCTTACCCTTGCTGTCTGTTTTAAATTCTGCCAGTTTTAATGTAATCTTGGGGTTTTTGCTGCCTGCAGAGAAGGAGTGAAAGAATACCAAGATGAACAGCTTGAACACTCCATGGTTATGGACAACACAGCTTCTACAGAAGAACTGACCCTGGTCCTATCAAAATGGCTGTGTGTGAATGTACAAATATCAAATTACGTATGGGAGCAAACACCATTGTATTCACGAGAGTCACTGTGGGTATGGGAAAAGTTTTTTTTTGCCTTGCCTAGCTGGCTGTGCATGTTCTCAGGAGGGAGAGGAAAGACGGGATTCAAAATGCATTCCACAACATGCCGCTAGATATATTCCATTTTCTCAGCAATCCTTTCATTTAAGCTGAACTTAAAACTCCATTCCTCTCTTGCAGTAGATTTTGGGCTCAGAGACACAATTAGCCCTCAACATTTACAACCAGCTTCTAGATCCTAGTAAGTACCCAGATTAATCATGCAAAGTTTATAGCACAAATTCCACTGCTGCTGCCAGCAGCAGTCAAGAGTTGCCTTAGCAGCCCTGTGGTATTTCACTTGCCTGTCCTGGGGTAGCGATAGGAGTCTGTTTTTCTCTCCTCCAAGGCAGGTGAAGGAACATGAATTATCTCCACCTCTGACTCATCCACTTCCTCATACAAGATCCGCAGTGTTTTTAAATCCTCTGAACCTAGGACAGATAGTAAGCGTGTTTGCTACAGTGTTTTCCAGCTGCTTCTGACCAGCTTGGAGCACTGCAACAGTAAACTCTGGTGCAACAGAGCGTACACCTCTTGTTTAGCCACAGCTCCTAGGGACCACCTGCAAATACTCCTCAGAGCACAATTATAATCCTCCAGAGTTTTGTTCCTTCAGGTGGCCTCCCAAGAAATAGACCAAACCCGGGTCAGAAGAAAAGCGTGCTCAAAATCTCATGCATAGCAGGGGCCGGCAGCAGTTACAGCATCAGAATTTCAGAAGCAGAACACTGACCTTCTGCTGAAGCTGTGGGACACCACCAATAGCCCGTGAATCGATCAAACTCCTCCTGAATGACAAAAGTGGCTACACCAGCAGACTTGGGGTCATCAAGAACATTGGATAAGCCTGGAGAAGAACAAAAAGGAGACTGCATTTACATCGCCTTGGAAAAAGCTGATCCAAAAGAATAATGTAGATCTGGCAAGAAGCACCAGTTACCTTTATGGCAATATGTCATCCGCTTCTCCTCTCCCGTCTCAATATTCGCAACCCACAGGTCATTGTTATTAATGAATGAAAAGAAGGCAGGATCGGCCGGGCAGATCTTGGGATCCATTCGCGGCCCTGTGCACTGAGTCTTGATCTCCAGAGGCTTCATTGGAGACACCTACAGCAACAGACACATAAAAAGTTCGGTCCCAAATCAGCGTCCAGCTTCAGATTTGAAGGCCTGAACCACAGATACAGTACAGCCCATGAAATGAGGGCAAACATAGCCCTGCAGGACACAAGAGAAATGATCATAACCAAACAGATGCAAATGTGCAGCCACCTCCCACCAAAACAAGTAAGTGTTTCAGGTGATATTCATAAAATCCCAAGCAGACTCACCATGAAACCATTCTTGCCCCCATCTCGACAATGAAAGAGGCTGTTGCTGGCCTGGAAGAGGAACAGGCCACTCTCACTGTGGAAATCATACGATGTTATACCAAAGACACCAAGTCGCTTGCGTTCCCTCAAGAGTTCCTCCTCTCTAGAATACATCCCATGATGAGGGGTTGCCTAGTATTGAAAGAAAGGAAAATCTGAAAGAATCTGTAAGGAAAGAAACTTTCACACAACAGGAATGCTCTGAGACTGGCACCAGCTACTCTGCGAATGCCCAAAATACAAGTTTGTATCGGCCAAAAACTGTCAGCAGTCTCACCATGCAGGTCCGCAACTGCTGTGCTCTAGGCTACAGGGCTGGCCCAGGAGGACTAAGCCAAGCGCATGCCCCAAAGTTCCCTCTGCGTAAGAGGGATGAACCATGAATCTATCATTTCTGCAGTTGGCACTTCAGCATGAACTGAGGACAGCTGCACTTGCTCTGCTTATGCAAAGCAGATGTAACCAATTAACTTAATGACGTTATCTACAGCCTTCACAAACAGTTTCCATGTCAGACACTTCAAACAAAAGCTCTTCCGGGGATCTTGAATTACACTGAAGGGGAGTAGCATTCCAAATGGGGTCAAGACAGCTAAATTCTTTTCCACCAGGAACTTTTTGAGCAGGGAGGACAGACAAACACTCTCCACTCTCTTCTTCATCAATGCTGTTAGTGACAACAGACACCAAGACACTGAAATCAGGGAGGGGAAAAATCACCTCCTTCCTGGTTCACACGCAACAGAGCATAAGGCAGAGGCAGCAGTTTAAATTCAACTTTCCAGACTTCCTTAAAAGCAGGAAAGATAACAGACAGGCATTCCACCGAGCACATCAACAAGCACGACAAGAGCCCAGACAAGACACCCAGAAGAAAGGTGCACTGTCCTGATAGCTAATAATCCGAGGGAGACTACATGCTGGTTTACAGAGTGCTCTTTGCTAGGTCAGCCCTTCTCTTGCCACATCAGCTGCTGTTTCACACTCCCTGCCAGCTCCACTGCACACAGGAGTGACTATCTTGCACTAGGAAGCAAAGCAATTCTTGATACAACTTTCCTACCAACACCATTCTCAGTGTCTTACACGCTGCCATGCCATTATCTCTACTGTTCAGCTGAGCAGTACCCACCACACCAGCCCCACAACGTCAGCCAGTTCTCCCCAGCACTGCCAACCCAGGCTCTTCACACTTCGGCTTACCTGAAAGTGATCCAGCATCTGTTTCCATGACAAGAGCAGCAAGGCCTCCTTCCGTACCTTTTTGGGAATCTCTGAGTAAAGAAGGGAGTTCTCTCGGCTACCATATGGCATTCCTATGAGGAGGACAAAAGCAACATCCTACTTAACATTAGTTAGCCAGGACAAAGAGGATGAAGAGCAAATTGAAAAAAAAAAAAAAAGCCCGATAACAGAGGGGTTGGGGCTGTCCAGAGGCTTTCACGAGCTTTCATTCCCAAGCAGCTCAGTTCAATCACAGAGGAATATCTAAATTATTTAAATTCAGATATTTGCTCTTTTAGAAATTTCCCTAAGCAAGATTTAACACTAACCAACCTCTTCAGAATTAGTTACGTACAACTTTCCTCTCTGTGGACTGTTCAACCCACACCCCAGATCCACTCTGAAAAAGCCACTCCCTGAATGGGTGACTCAACATTACTCTAGACATTTCTCAGCCAGAAATTTGCTACAGGGACCTCATTCAAACCAACGCAGCAGCCTGCAAGAGGGGAAGAAAAAGCTTGGAAGCTCCAGAGAGCCCATTCAAATGTGAAACAGTACACTACATAGGCAAAGGACCTCGTCGTTTTACATAAGCCTTTGACCGCGGTTATCAAATAAGCTGTTGGTCTTCATCCAATTTCCAAAACAATCATGAAAAGTAAAATATCCTGACACATGACTTTGGCAGTTCCAACAAAATCAAAAGACCACGAACTCGCCCTCAACGTACGCTGTAGAGACTCCCTAGGTCAGAATTTTGCCCAGGGAAATGTGCCCTGATATTGTCTGCTCTGCACAGAGCAGAAAGATTTCTGAGCTGGTTAACCCAGCACTACAGTTACTTAAAATTAAAAATGAAATATTAATAAGTGCTCAGGAAGCAAAGCAGTATGTGAGGATATAATCCTCAGAGATACAGAAACACCAAAGTGCTGAGCATGTGGTGTTTAATATAAGCAGCATCTGCCGTGATACAACATAAAATTCTACAGGGACAGCCCAGGAATGATTTAAGATTTCCAAACAGAAAAAACTGCAGATAGGAACAAATTACTACATATATACACATTTGACCCTCATGCAATTGTGACCTGGCATTCCTTTCTCCTCATTATATCAGTACTTTCTACAATGACCTCAGGCTGACTACAGTCAACCAGCATTTACAAGAAAAATATTGCCTGCCTCCCCAAAAGACGTTATACTTTGTTCACAAGTGGAGAAGAGTATTCAACTTCTACAGCAAAGTTCTTCAGAATTCTTCATCCTACCCCTCGGCATCCAGTCACTAACAGTATTCCCATGAAAACTTGAAAATGTTATTTAACATTGGGGCTGTAATCGCACACTGATGTTAAACACTTCTGAACTGCTGAAACGGGTTCCGAGTATTGAACGGCACACGGTATGCAACTCAAAAGATGCTCACTACAGCAACACAAAGAATCAGCCTTTACCCTCTGTCAGCAATGCCTGAGAAGACGTACCCCCAGTACTACCTGGCGGATACGGATCAATCTGCTCTATGCCCTGTACATTTTCTTAAGGAAGAAAACACTGAAAAGACATTCCTGTGTCTTCAATGCTGGTTCTGGCTCCTGTAACAGTCACACTCGTACAGAACACCAACCAGCCGGTAGCTCGTCTGGTTACCATTTCATACAATAGAAGAACATTAATTTTTTTTTTTGTTTAATTGGCCACTTAGACCCTTAGTTCTTTAGCCATCTAGATCAAAAACCGTATCAAAGTCAACTTGGCCTTGCAACATGTTCAGCCTGACATCAAGTCTCACTGTTCAGACTCAACAAGAAAAATACACCAGCTCTGGATACTGCCCTTTATAGTAGCACTTGTGTCACAAGACTGTACCAGGAACTGTAACAAATCAAGACACTGACACACAGGAGCTGCTCGATTACAAAATGTATCAGTCCCTCAAACCCAGCATCCTCTGTCCTACACTGACCTACGCTCAACAACTCCACAAAGAAGAAAAAAAGCAGGGTCACTTCAGGAAAGCAGCCACTGTATGGAGTTGCACATCAGGCAATCTCTTTATTGGCCCAGTAACGATCAGCTCATGCCCCAAAGCATAACAAACTCTTTATAGTCTATAAAGCTTGCCATGTTACCAACCACAAAATTATCCAGTTGCTAAAATCCAACCGCTCTGTCACTAATTACATTGTGGCTTCAACTGTAATGAGGGATCTTTACAACACAGCATTCTGCTGTCTCTCAATCCTACTGTAAGGAAGAGGATATTTCCTTGAGAATACCATTAATAGCTCATTCCCACCTAATTCTTTCCCCCCCACACTCTTGAAAGCATCCTACCTACATGGTACTTAATAAAGCAGGGAGACATCACCACCCCACCATTAACAGCTAGCACTTGCAACACATAGTTAGTAATTACTTGAAGAGAATTCCTGGAAAGTCACTTCTGCTTGATCAATTAAGTAAATCCCCTTTCTCCTAAGCTACAGAGGCACAAGGCAGTCCTGAGTTTGAGGACCATCCCTTCCCTTGCCCCATCACCTGGACGGACCTGGGTTGCCAAAGGACACTGCATTCACAGTTCTGTCACGAGGCAGGTCTGGCTAGCCAAGCCCTCCCCTCGTCGCTAAGCAGAAAGGCTGCAGTTAAAGCACTTGTCTGGGACTGGAGAGGTCCCTGCTCACTTCCAGCCTTTGCTGTAGATTGAGCATGCAAACCTTGAGCAACGTTACTTAATCCCAGTTCCCCCATCTCAAACACGAATACCTCCCATCCTTTTCCTCGCCTGTTTAGACTGGAAGCTCTCCCGTAACATTCACACCCGGCGTCTGGCATGCTGGCTTACCCAGGTAATAAAGACGGTGAGAGTGCGGGCTGGACTCTTCTGTTTTCCGGACAAACTGGAAATCATGGGGAGCTTTGTTCACTATCATGCCCGAATACTTCCTGCTGCTGTGAATAATGTCACGCAGCCCATCCCACGAATGCTTTTGCACCTGGAATTGGGAAGGCACATCCTCCATCTCGACCACTTCAGAGCTGTCTGATAGCGTGTCCACTGCAGTCATCCTCTCTTCCCCTTCAGAACTGGACAAAAAACTGAGGGAGGAGTTGAGGGAGAGAATTAAGCCTTAAAATCAAGCAGGCACATTTTGTTGCCTAAAGAAAGCTCTAAGCATGCAACAAGCTTAAGAGAACAGGGACTCCTTAAACTACAGACCCTAGGATTCTCTGCACTCAGAGATTACATTTTAACATACATCGACGTATTGAAAGGAAAAGTCCATCTCCTTTCCCATCTCGAGTCCTGTAAATTAAGATATTCACCTCAGAAAACTCACTGTCCCAGGACTAGTTCTAGAAATCATCTGTCAAAGGAAGCACAACCAGCAGATTCTGGTGCAGAAAACAACCAGCTTGACTCAAAGGAAAACCACTCCAGGAATTTGGATGGGTAAGTCATCGAAGCTACAACCTGACCTATCGTAAAGGCACTTAAACTTCTGCCCTGAAAGACCACAAAAATGAAGTCCCCTTCCTGCCCTATGGGAAAGCCTGTTCATCACTTAGAGATTCAAGCCCAAGCATGGCACCTCACTTACCTGAAGAGCTACTGCAGCCAGGAACGAAGTAGGAGAGATGGCAAACCAGGAAGAAAACAGCGCAATTGTCTTTGCTAACAGAAAGCAGACAGCAGTAACAGACCCTGATCACATTCTGCAAAACGTGGCACGCATTCCTCATACATTTCCAAGCAAGGAACTATTGAATGGGAGTCTACGGAAAACGCCTCCACATGCAACTACAGCAAATGTTAATTTGAGCAGAGGTGGACTAACAGACTTGCCCAAAGAAGCTGGCTTTCCCCCCACCAGGACATTTTAGTTGTTTTGGGGGTCTCTGGAAGAATGTTACAAAGAATTTCAGAAGAACTTCAGTTTACTGAAAAATTACGCTGGAGAAATTTGCCCTGTGGAGACAGAATCGCTGCCTTTGACGCAGCATCAAGAGGGTAGAACAGTGACTAAGGATTACACCAAAAAGGCCCTGTCCTCAGCAGCCCCAAATTTACATTTTCAAGTGAGATGTTTCTTGAATGCTCCCTGTCATTTGGGACAGTGACCTGCATTCTGACAGGCGAACACCTTCTGGGATGAAGGATTAAACAAGAATTACACATAAACCAAACCTCAAAGACCTCGGCCTCCATAAGACGCACGATGAGTTCTTTCCCAGCAGAGAGAACCAGGGGAAAGGAGAGGGAGGGTTATTTATATCACCATAAGAAAACACTTGCCTTTGCCCATTTTCTACCAGGAGTATTTTTTAGGAGAACCCCGAGTGTTCCTTGAGTATTCCCCACCAGCTTGCACCTTCTAACAAACTCTCTACAAGGAAGTTCTCATCCAGTTTGACATCTTATGCAATTACAGCAGGAGATGTGGAAACTCGAACCAAAGTACATCTGGACTTCTTTAAACTATAGGCACACAGTACGAGGGCTGTAAGCATAACCATATCTTCAAATTGCTAAGTCCCCAAATTGTTAAGTCCCCAAATTGTACAAAATGCACAAATAAGAACAAGAAAAAGCTCCTGAAAGAAAGTACCTACGTACTCCTGATGCCTACTGCCCAGCAGTAAACCCACAAATTGAAAATGAACAAAGAAGAGTAATTTCCAATCAAAGCCAGGCAGGAAGCCCAAGTGAAACCACAAAAGGGAACGTGATGGGATGTTCTAAGACTGCGAGAGCGTCGGTGGCCTCTACTGCCCATATCCAGGGTCTCCATTACAGCAACTAAAATCACATCTGAAGGCAGAAGTGTTGCCTACCAGAAACGCGTGACAGGAAGACCACAAAACCCCACAAACCGGGTACAACTCTCTCAGCCCAGTCCCACTGCAGGTCAAGTCAGTCAATTAAAATAATCTGGCTTTGGCTCAAGCTGCCTGACCCTTAGATTACTCTCACCCAGCTGGTGAAAACGTCTTACTCGGCCAGCTCGACTCCTCGCAAGGGAAAGCTGCACCTTGAAGGGCTCAAAACAGTTCATAAATGTAATACTGGTAACTGCCCCAAACGGAACCAGAGGCCGGAGTCCCGTCCAAACTATACGGCCGTGATTTTACGGTTCAGTAGGGAAGCGAAAGGCACAACTTCCAGCCTGGTGCTGTTCTCATCCTGGTGCTGTAGACACCAGAATCGAGCGAAGCAGTGGGATAAGCAAAGCAGCCATCACACAAAGTGACGTGGAAATGTTGGGAAATGCCACTATCCTAGCCGGGGTATTGTGGAGTCTTGCAAAACTTGGGTCCTCACATGGTACAGAGTAAAAAGAAAATCCAATTGCTTCATCCATCGCTACAGCCATCTCTTGGACAAAATGTTACAAGTATTTGGCAACGCTGTACATGTAAGTAAACAAGTATAAGCAGTCACTTATCTAGCTGAAATTGCAGGGTGGATTTTGGGATGAAATCATTCTGAGGTGAGTTGGATCAAGACACCAATTTTAACCACCTTATTCTTAGACAGTCTTGAAACCCTGGGATCAAATAGAGTGCACCTGAGATTTACACCTTACTGGAAAAACACTGTCCTTCACAGTCCCCACACTGAGGCACTGATTTAGATGATGAGGTGGTGTTGTTACAGAAGCGCTACTAACCCTCCTCCTAACACCACCTCGTTGTCCCTCTGAGGCCATCTTCAGGCTTTTTCTGCCCTGCCTGGTCAGGTTAGATGGATCAAACACATCCCCCAAGACCTCCTTCAGGGGGAACACCTCAGCCTGAAGACAAGAAGCAAGCACAGGTGGGACATCAGCATGGGGGAAAAAAACTGTAAAGCTTGGAATTGGAAGTCAGTGAAACAAGTTATCTTCCTGAGTCACTTCCTGACCCACAGATCCTGACACAGAGCTCCCCGGGTAGAATTATATACTTGGGATTTTTCAGAAACCTCATTCACTCCATGAGGTGCTTATTGCTCTGTCCCACACAACCTAAAGGTCAACAAAGGCCCTGCGAGTGACCGGGACACATACCTTCTCCAGCTTCCTGCAGTCTCGTTTTCCAGACGAACCCTCTTTATCTTCTGCATTAACTACTCAGCGAGCTGGGCAGGACAGGAAACTAGGAAGGAAGAGGAAAAAAAGCAAATTTCATATCACTGCAGTTTTCCCCGCTATAGGAATAAAGCTGTATGAAAGCATCCTCCGTAGAGCACATTTCCAACTGAGTGGGGAGGCACAAACAAAATCCTTGGTTTGCACTTTACAGTCCAAATCTGTTCTGCCAGCACAGGCTGGATATCACCAGCCCAGAAAAACCTGAGAGAGACTTCTTCATCTAAACAACGGGACTCTGAACTCTGCGGCCTGTCTCTTTCCTAAAAACTCTTCTTAAAATCTGAGAATCCTCAGTACTGAACCCTCCTTTCATTCCTCTCCTCAAACCCTGAAATTCTCCGAAGTATCGGGCACTAAGAATTGAGAAAACAGAGGTCTGGTCTATTCACTTACCAGCAAGAGTCAAACAAAGGACACCATCAGGAGCCAGACAAAGGGTCAGCAGCCCCACGACCATCAGCGGCACAGTCCCACCTGGGACATAAAACCCACATTTGTCTTCCAAGCCAGACTGCTGCTTCCCTCCGGCTCGGCCTGACCCCACAGAGGAACTCCAGCTCACCACACAAGCCCATTTTCCATGAGCATAAGAAGGCGCTACCTTCACTACTGTCCTCTCTACCCAAGAACACTGAAGTACAAAGATCTTTGTCTTCTCTTCAAAAGAGCTCTGAATCACAGACGTGCCCGAGACCTGCCACTGTCTTTTTCCAAGGCCCCTGGTCTGCCCAGACACCGCTTCTGCACCGAAACCGCACTCACGGAGGATCAGGAGAGACAAAGCGTCACAAAGAAGCACCAGCAGTGGAGTTCCTAAACTGCAGAGGAGAACAGAGAGGGACGAGGGAGCAGCAGCGCGTCATTTCAGGGCAATTCTCGATGCAGGGACCAAGGGCAGCAGGAGCGATGCTCAGGAATGCTGAGTAACCTGGTCTGATCTCACAGCCGACCCCGCTTCGAGCAAGGGGCTGGACTAGAGACTTCCCGAGGTCCCTTCCAATCTCCACTATGCCGCGATTTTAATGATTCAGAGGCCTCACCCCCCCAGCCACAGCTCACACAGAGAAAAGGAACAATAACATCCTCTGGTGCTGAACCCAGAGGAAAAGAAACTGAATAAAACAGACAGGAGAGATCAGAAACCCGGCATGAATCACCACGCTCCTTCGCCAGCGAGACCCCGAGGGGCCTGCCGGTGCCTTCAGGAAGAGCCGAAGCAGCACCGTCACCTCGAGCGGCCCTTGCGAG